TGTTATCACATTGTACTCTAACCAACTGAGATAACTGGCCAGCCTGAGCAGGATCTTTTTTTTTTTTTTCCTACATTTTTTTTTTTCCTTTTTGTCTTTTTTCGTGTCCGGCAACGGATCGCAACCCTCAGTGTCACACCTGTACCGGACCAGGACCGGCAACGGGATTGCAACCCTCCGTGTCGTGCCCGCACCTCGCTCAGCCAGTGAGCAGCCAGTCTGTATGTGGGATCCGAACCCTCGGCGGGAGCGCCGCCGCACTCCCAAGCGGAGCACTGTAGCAGTGCGCCACCGGGCCGGCCCGTGAGCAGGATCTTGAAGACAGGAAAGATCTGGATTTCAGAAAGGCCTGAAGAAGGCATTCCAGGCAGGAGAAACAGCTTGAGCCAAAGTGTGGAGGTGGGACAGTGTTGAAGAGACAATGAGGAGTTTGACTGTAGCATAAGGTGCATGTAGAAGGGGAGATGAAGCTGAAAAGAGCCAGAGCTGGATCATGGAGGGCCATGAATGCCGTGTTAGGAGTGGGGGGCTTTATGAGCCACTAAGGTTTTAGAGCAAAAAAGTGGTGTGACAGGGGAGGCGTGTTAGGGATTATTTAATTTAAGTCAGTAAAGAGGTCAAGAGAGGGTATGAGGTTAGCAGGAAGTGGCCGTGATGGGCAGAGGCTCAGGGTTGCACGGAATGAGGATACTTTGGGGACACCACTCTAAGGGCCACAATGCCACTCACTCCTCCCCTCAGAAGCCTCTGGGTATTATTTCCTGGCTTCTTCCCCTAGTTGCTAGGGCTGAGGAGTCCCTCAGGGGTTTCAGACTGGGGCTGGGACAGTGTTTCCTCACCAGAGCATGAACCTCTGGCCTAGCTCACCCCTTGCCTCCTGTTGGGCCAGATGGGCAGTTTTCAGACCCTGCCCCACCAGCCCTTCTCTACTGAGAGAGGACCCAGAACCTCTGGCCCTGGAGATTCTGAGGATGTGTATTTGTGGTCTCTCTCCAGGCATCTCCCAGGCCACTGGGAGAGCTGGGGTCTAGAGCATTAGATGGCAGAATTCTCAGAGTGGGGAGTTTGGAAGAATCTTACAGTGTTGGCTCTAGAAGGAAGCTTGGATAAAACAGATGAAGAAACTGAGGCCCAGAGAGGTAACATGACTTGCTTGAGATCATACAGCAAGTTTGGGGCACAGTCAGGACTAGGACCCAGGTCTTCCTGGGGAAAATGAAGTATGCTGGGACTTAGATCATCTGGTGCATGTAAAAAGTAGTACGGGTTAAAATCCTGGCTCTGGGGGCCGGCCCAGTGGCGCACTTGGTAGAGTGTGGCGGTGCTCCCGCCGATGGTTCGGATCCCATATAGAGACCGGTCTGCTCACTGGTTGAGCGCAGTGCGGGCGCGACACCGAGGGTTGCGATCCCGTTACCGGTCACAAAAAAAGACAAAAAGGAAAAAAAAAAAAAAAATCCTGGCTCTGCCATTGACTATATAGCTTTGTCACCTTGGGAAGTCACTTAGGTTCTCTGAGTCTGTTTCCTCAACTGTAACATATGGATAACATGTACCTTTTGGGGTTATTGTGAAGATAAAACAAACTTATAAAGCACCATAGCACAGTGCCTGGGACACGGTAAGTGCTCCGTAAATGTCAGCTAGTGGTCCGGCAGTGGCAATAGTAGATACCCAATATGTTTGTTGAATGCATTATTGAATATGCATGCACAAACTAACAGTGAGATTTGTGAGCCTCAGTTTCTCCATGTGAAAATAAGAACTCATAATCAATCCCTGTCTTGTCACTCGCTATTCTGTCCAGCCTGGGAAGCAACGTGGATTAAACTAAGTGTGTAATCGTTCTAGTGCGAAGCCGTCTCTAAGTCAATGTTTATTTAGCCCATAGCAATTCCTCTCCAAGTCCTACCTTGCAAAATTTCCCATCGGCCTCACCAACTCCTCTACACTTACAGGTGCTCCCCTAGAATCGGAGAAGCGGGATATTTTCCTCTTTCAAGCCTGCCGAGCTGAGGAAAAATGGGGTGGGAAAGCACAAAATGTGTGGGATAAGGAGGTGAGACAGAAAAGGGAGGGAGAGCAGGAGAAAGGTAGCGGGGAGACCGGAGGTGCACGGACGAGGTGTGGAGCCGAGAAAAGGGCACATATTGGGAGGTGTGACTGTAGGATGCAGGTGAAAGGATACGGGGAGCAGTGGGAGAGGTGAGGGTGCTGGGATTTGTGGCGGGAGTCAAGGAAATGAGGATCCTGTAGGTAGGAGTGGGGATCCTTCTCATGGAGAAGTCCGCGGGTCGCCGGGAGGCAGGAGCAAGCTCCCAGCTCTCGCCTCTCGGGGTGGCCCCCCGAGGCTCTTAGTGCAGCTCCCCGGCAGGAACAACAAGCCAGCGAACCGTGGAGGGGGCGGGGAGGGGGGATCCGCAGCCTGGGATTGGCCACAGCTCCGCCGGCCGGCGACGCGCGGCGGGCGGGCCCCTTTGTGACGTCACAATCAGCTGTTTGAACGTTCCAATTTGTGCTGTGAGCCGGGCCGCAGCGGCCGCACAGAACCAAAGCACCGCGGGCGAGCGCAGCAGCCCCGAACGTCCGACCACTGGTCCCGCCGATTCCCCCGCCCCGTCCCCGAGATGCGGCCCGGCCTGTGAGCAGCCGGAGACCCTGGGACGCTCCTCTACACAACTACCTCAGCGCCGCCCCTGGCCGCCGCACCACGCCCGCCCCCAGGTGAGTCCCGACCAGCTTTGGCCGGAGGGGGCTCCCTGCGCCCCCGGGCACGCCCTGCGCCCCCGCTCTCGGGCCTTTGTCTGTCTCCGCCAGCGGCCGCTGGGGCTGCATTCCCGGCTCCCGATTGGTTGCCACATGCCTGGTAGAACATGACGTCGCTCTATTTGCATATGACATTGAAACGTCACCAAGGCCGGCCCCGCCCCGCCCCCGGCCGGTTGTCCTCCCGTGACCCGGTGGACGCTGTGTTGGGGCTGGGCCGTTGGGTGAAGTTCGCTGAAAGGCAAGCGGGGCCAGAGGGGGCTCGGCGGTTTCATGGGCTGATCCAAAGGCTGGGGTCAGGCCTCTGATCCCCTACTTTTTCCTTGCGACCCGAGAAGGGGTAGGACGACGCTGCTGGGTCTCGGATGAGGGGGTTGTCAGGAGTTTAGGGCGGCTGGGGACTCCAGATCGCTGGGGCAGCACCAGATGGTGGTGGAATCTCTTCCCTCCGGGTCCAAGCTCCGCCCCCCAGGGACTAACATAACATCCTCTTAATCCCTGACTTGTATGCAGCGCCTTAACTGACGTCACTCCCTGCCGCCAAATGAGGGGTCTTAGACCCCATTTCACGGGAGGGGAAACTGAGGCCCAGAAAGGAGAAGTAGCTTACTCGAGGTCACGCGGCCAATTAGAGTCTTGCTCACTGAGTGAGTGACAGATGTATTAGCTATTGGCATACACACAGCAGGAGATCAATACAAGTAACAAGATACACATCCTCCTTCTACTGGGAACCCTATCTTGGGCTCAACACCAAATCGATTTAATAGGGCTCCTAAGTCTCCTCATTTCACCTTTTTCCAGGGGGGTCTCTAGAGATTCAGTCCCCTTTTGTGGCCCTGACCCCCTTTGTCCTCACTCTGTACTTTTGAGTCCCAGAGCCCAATAAAATCTGCTGCCTCCCAGCTGTTTTGACCACAGAAGGGTGAGTCATTGGCTGCCTCAGGGTATCTCCAGGGCTGATGCTATGGTGGGGTGAGGGTTCCCTCTGTTGGCCCTTTATCACCTCCCCAACTCCCAGGGTTATCAGCTAGAAGGGACATGATTTGGCCTAGTGCTGGTGATTGCAAGAGTTGCGCTGCCCCCTCTCTGCTCACAGAGAAGGGTAGGAGCAGGAGAGCTTCTGACTTTCCAGGTGGATGGGCCTAGAGGCTGGACCAGGAGCCCCATCGCAGCCCCTGGGTTTGCTCAAGGATGGCCTGGGGTAGTGGTGGTGAAGGGATCAAATGCTATTCTGGGCACAGCTGCTGTAGTTATTAAAGGGAATAGTTCTCCCTGGAGCAGAGCTGGGAATGTGAGAACCAGGAAGCTGGCAAGGCCAGGAAAGAAAATCTGGGAGGCTCCCCAGTGGTCAGGAGAGGGGGCAGGCACTGTCTGGCTGGTGCTGCTGCCACTTGTTGTGTGACCTTGGGCAGGGAGCTTCTCCCCTGAGCCTCCCTTACCTAAATCTATCTGTAATTTGAGGAAGCCCAAAGCAGTCTCTGGTACACAGTGGGTGATCTGGTAGCTGCATGCTGAATCCTGGTTCCAGGAACCCCAGACCCTTTCATAGCTGGGCAGAAGGGCAGTGACAGCATCAAAGTCTGTTTGACCTGCTTGTACCCCTGATATCATTATATTCTTGGGGATTGTTTGCTGAGGTTTTCCTGACTGTACACTCTGGACTCAATGATCTGGGGCTATGCCTGCCAGTATCTAGTTGTATGTCTTTGGATAGACTAATGTCCTCTCTCTTATCCTCAGGTTGTAAAATGGGGTGGGTGAATATGATGGTCCCTGAAACAGCTCTTCCATTTCGTCTTCTCAGTGAAGTAGTAGGTTCTTGGAAGGAGGGTGTACCTCATCAAGGCCGCAATATTCTCTTCCTTCAGAAGGAGCCAAACTTTATGGATTTTTGGTAACTGAGCCACTAACTCCCTGTAGCTATAGATGGGCTGGGATATGTGGGTTGTGTGGGGCAGACACTAGTTGGGGGTGGCTCAACCTTCAAAACCCTTGTAGATCTCCCACCCCATCCCACCATGGAAACCAGCACCCAGGGAGCACTACTAACTCCCTGTAGCTATAGATGGGCTGGGATATGTGGGTTGTGTGGGGCAGACACTAGTTAGGGGTGGCTCAACCTTCAAAACCCTTGTAGATCTCCCACCCCATCCCACCATGGAAACCAGCACCCAGGGAGCACAATGATCTGGGGCTATGCCTGCCAGTATCTAGTTGTATGTCTTTGGATAGACTAATGTCCTCTCTCTTATCCTCAGGTTGTAAAATGGGGTGGGTGAATATGATGGTCCCTGAAACAGCTCTTCCATTTCGTCTTCTCAGTGAAGTAGTAGGTTCTTGGAAGGAGGGTGTACCTCATCAAGGCCGCAATATTCTCTTCCTTCAGAAGGAGCCAAACTTTATGGATTTTTGGTAACTGAGCCACTAACTCCCTGTAGCTATAGATGGGCTGGGATATGTGGGTTGTGTGGGGCAGACACTAGTTGGGGGTGGCTCAACCTTCAAAACCCTTGTAGATCTCCCACCCCATCCCACCATGGAAACCAGCACCCAGGGAGCACATCCTCTGGAGCCCACTGTGGGTCCGCAAATGTGGAAATAGTCTTTGGCACTGGTGATTCTGTGGCAAGTGTGAAAACATTCCCAGGGAATGCAGGAGGTAGCAGCAAGCATGGGAATACCCCAGCTGGGTTAGCAGTGAGAGTAGAAATACCTTCAGGGAGTAGAAGCATGGACATCCCCCCAGGAAGTTCTACAGGAAGTATGGAAACACCCCTAGAGGATGGTGACAAGTGGCTCTGCAGCAAAACTGCTGACCATCTTTAAGGGACAGGTATGAAGGGTTAGGCTTTAGGGACATCCTGGGGGCCTGGCCAGCAGCTCCCACCCAAGAGTTAGTCCTGAGGTGGGCTGGAATGGGGAGAGGGGCAGATCTACCGCCACCACCTTGGTGTCTCCATTCCTGGAGCAGGGGGCCTCCTTCTTTGTCTTCACCCAGGGAAGGATTAGTTGGGGGCTTGCTCGGGTCCTGCTCCAACCCACAGTGCTCATCCTTAAGGGATCCTGGGATCTAACAGCTTACTCCTTCCATCATCACCTTCCACTGACCTACTGTCTCACTGGAGCCAGGCAAAATGATCTTCCTCCAAACCAGGGATGCTGCCTTTGAGCAGGAGCCTGGGAAAAGGGGGTCAGAGTGGGGGAGGACCTGTCAGAATAGGATCATCATAACTCATCTGACAGACACAACTGAGGCTTACCCAATCACATGATGAGATGATAGCAGTTCTGTGGGATTTCTGCTAGCCAGAGCTTTTCAAACTACACAAGCCCTAGTAGTGGCTCTTAATCTTTGGGGTCAAGGACTGCTGTTTAGGAAATCATGATGAAAATCAAGATCCTTCTTCCCAGAAAAATACACATGGTCCCTGACCACCAAGTCAAAAATGCCTAATTCAGACAGAGACCCAGCAAAGGCAGTGGAGTATGGTGTTTATGGGTGCTTGCCTTTGGAATCTGACTGCATAGGTTCAAATCCCACCTCTGTCTCTTACTATCATGAGACTTTGGGCAAGTTACCTTTTTCTCTGAGCCGTACTCAGTTTTTTCACGTGTAAAAGAGGGATAGTAATTATATTCACTTCCTATAGTTGTTTTGAGGATTACATGAGGTAATATAGGTAAAGCTGCTTAGTATAGTGCCTGGCACATGGATGTTAGCTATGTTATTATGATGATAATAAACAGTCACAATATGGACAATTCGTTT